TTCAAAAGCCAACTACAGAAAACTGTTACGAACTTACTTATTAAAACTGGTATGCGATCAAATAACTCTAATATTATGCATGAGAAATAAACAAAATAAAAACTTTAAAACTAGATTTATAATGCTTTAAGCTTCATACAAACAAAACATTTATTTAATAAATTATTTATTATCACAGGCTGCCTTACAGGATCTATGCCCAAAGCTTACATCTTTGGCTTGAAATGGGCCCAAAATAAAATTATATTTGAGGATGTCACCTCCCTGCAAAAATCATCAATTCCTGTTATTCTCTTTGTATTATGACACTCAAGCATTGCACACAACTTAAAAGTTTTCATTTCTGCTCATAGTCCTAAGGAACTGCCAGGCAACTGAAAGAGTGAACAAAAGATTTGTGTCAAGTCAATGTCTCCACTACATTGCTGGATCATTTAATGGCCTGTGAAACCTACTCCAACAGGAAGAAGAACAGATCAAATTAAATCAGACTTCAAAAACTGTGGGAAAACAGTGTCGGGAACTACATCTCCCTCCATGACAGGTGTCACCACATGAACATGGAAGGCAGCTACATTTATTTAAGACTCAAAAAAACAGCTATGAATAGAATCTCCAACCCTTCCTCCTTGTCAAGCAAAGTAGGGGAGCTTAATGCAGAAATAAATTGTTCAGCTTTGCCTTTAAGTAAAAGTAATACTTATTAGGGCCTGCCATTTCTTCATTTGTACCTCATATTTCAATTTTTCAGTTTTTCATCCAAGGGCTTATCTGAAAAAACTCCACAACTACCTCAGCTCTCAAAGGTGTAACTGAGAAAAGGTCAGCTACATGTCCCCATATCTGAATCCAAATTAAGTGTTCAGAGCTCACAAATACAACAAATACACACACAAGCACTCCATATATGCACCAGTGTCTGAAGGAGGAAGGTGGTTTCTTTTTCTTGCACAGCTGGGCACTCAGGAGACACAGTTTGTTTGCACAAGACAAGGGACAATCAAGACCCCAACCCAATGCCCTCACACAACACAAATCCCTCCTCAGAAGTGTGGGAGTTGCCTCCAATAACCTGTTCCCATTTCACTGAATGACTCCCCAAATTACCCCCCAGCAGCACAAAGCTGGGGGTCTCAAATAACGTTTTATGGAAGTTTAGGGCACTTGAATAACCCCCAACCCCCGATTTCAGACCTGAGCCAGAGCACATGACAAAGCTGCTATGTGCCATTGTGTTACCTAACAGTGACAAGGTTTTCAGCCCTATTACATGGGTATTGCTTGCTCCACAGCCCATCTTCCCTGCAGAGCACAGCTCCAGAACACACAGTTTAAAAGCCCAATTTAAAAAAACCCTAATTGGCTGAATGGAAAAAGCACATTGCTTTTTAACTAGTACAGTTTTTGCTGGACACATCTGGACTACACCTATAAATAGCAGTTTTCAGAAATACATTTTTGATATAAGTGGCCTTCCTAAAAGCTCTTAGCTGCATGCACCACACCAAAAAACATAAAAAGAGCACCCTGATAAAGATGGTTGACTGATAATTTAATTTGGGACTAGGTAATAAAGACACAGCCAGGAAGACTAGTCCCCCAGGCTCACACATTCCCAGTTAAAAAAAAAGTATCAGTATCTGCTAGAGTGGCAACTGCTTAGTGAGACTGTAAAGAACTTTGCTATTCAACCATAACGTAGAACAGTTCCAAACCTGTACAATAAAGGGCAATTTGAATTGATGGATTTATTTTTATTGTATTCATAGAGCATGTTAAACTGGTTTAAGAAATGCTTCGTTTTTCTGGTCATAGTGGTCATGTTCTCAGAAAATGCTACTCAAAAATCATGCACATGTTGGAAGATGACAAATTCACATCATTCTTTCCCACTTTATGCCACATTCAGCTGGATTCTGCTTTTTTCTGAAGTCCCTATGCTCATCTTGTGCTATCTATTGTGCTAAAACTCACATACTAAGAAGGAAATTTCTTTCTCCCACCTCCTAAAAATTTTACTGTGGTCTGTAATGAATTACAACTTCTAGTGCATTAACAAAAGGAACGCTGAGAAAATATCAGTGAGAGACACTGTAACAGGAGGGGAAAAGATCTTCTTGAAACTAAAATTTACGTATGATCAATTGTGTATCTCTTCTTTTACGCTGCAACCCGTTAGTGTTATATTTAATTATGGTTTGATAACAGAAGATAACCTTATCTGTAAGAGCCTTGCAATTAAACTCCCGTTAAGCATTTTTTCACCTTCAGTCGTTGCCTGGAAAGAAGTCTGAATCTGAAGAAGTCACATATTTCAGAAGGTTATTTTTCAATATAATCTGATCCAGGCCCACCGTGCCAAGTAACAGCAAAGTGGAGATGTGGAGGAAAATTAAAATCAGCTTGGCTCTGACTTTTCAGTGAGCGAGCCATTAATAACAAGAAGTGACACTGTGACTCCGTTAAAATGACACAAGACTGTCACAAGCAATCACCTAAAAGACCATTTGGTTTGGTCCTTGCTGAACTGGACAAGAAGGACGTGGCAAAGTCGCTCGAGACGAACGTTTGGCCAAAAAGGTGGGTGAGTCCTCACTGGAGAACTCCTTTCCTGCAGCCTCAGGTCCACGATGCAGTGGTTTTGGTGATGTCAGTAATGTGCTGAGGCAGTGACACAAATAATCCTACATAGGTTAAATAATTCTGAAATTAATCACAAAACACCTCAGCATCAGGGCAGTTGAACAAGAGAAGAGCTGCATGTAAACAAAGCTCTCATGAAATACACCTGTACAACTGGAGATCCTTCTTCACAGTAGAATTACAGCACCAGTGTCCCATCCCACTCCTCCCAGCATGGGAACTGCTCTCCTTTGCTCAGTGCTTCCACACAGCGTGAGGACCTTCATCAAGTAAACAGCACAAAGTATTTTCTCCTAGATCATGATGCAACACAGCAGGATTGCTGAATCGTGACAGGCATCATCATCAAAAACAGCCCAACGTGGCGGAATACAAACCTGAGTGACAACAGCAGCCACCCTGCCCTACAATCCCACTGGAAGGTATGGACAGAATAAAAATAACTCCTTTTGATCCTCCCTGGAGCATGAGGACAGCACTGAGCCTGTACTGCAGCAGGTCCAGTACAACACATCTTGATTTACGGATTACACAGGACCAGTGGGAAACTCCCTGGATCTGCCATAATAACCCAAATAACAATTTGGAAATCCTCTAATATATGGGCAAAACATAAGACCTTATAATAGATTCAAAAACAAGAGAAGCAGCATCCTTTAAAAGACAGAAACAAGGAAGAGTTCACCTTATTCTGTGCAAATAGCATACATACATTACAGATGTTTGCCAACTACAGCATAACACTGAATTCTTCAGTGAAAGATGAAGAGCTTGAATAAATAAAGAAAATCAAAGGAAACAGTGGAAACTGCCAAGCCTGATTCAAGCTGCTTCAAGAAGAAATGATACTAAATATAAGACCACGAACACACCCATCTTGCTTCTCAGCAGAGAGTCTAGGGAAGCAAGATTTCAAGTGTTTTACCGTGTTAAAAGGCTGGGTGTTCCGAATCACACACAAAGAACACACAAACGCCTAGTACTGACACAGAGAGGGAACACGCTGCAGACAAAGGCTACCTAGCAGATGGAAGCAGAGAATAAACAATTAACCAGGAGGGCAGCAACCCAACCCCACGGCCGAGCTGGGGGTCGCGGGTCAGGGACAGCCCGGGGACAGGAGGGGAGGGAAAAAAAGAGAATATCACGGAGCACAGACACGGGGCGAAGGCAGAGCTCCTCAGGATCGTTCCCTGCGCACCGTGGGGCCGAGCCGGGCCCGGCCCAGCCCGGCGCCCCCTCCCCGGGGCCCGCCCGCCCCCTCAGGCCCCGGCCCCGCGCACTCGCCTCGTCCGCGCTCAGCTCCTCCATCGCCTTCCTCTTAATGGTGCCCGGAGGAGGGGCGCGTTCCTCCGCCCCGCCGCGGGGCCGCTCCGAGGCAGCGCTCTCCTGCCGCCGCTGCCCCCCGGGCCGCCTCACAAGGGCATCTCCGCGGCGACCGCGCCGCGCCGCGCCCGGCGCGCGCCGCGCCGGCCAATGGCAGCGGCCCGAGGGGCGGGGCCTGGGCGGGGCCAGGGAAAGGCGGGGCCAGGGCGCGTGAGGGGCCGCGGTCCGTGAGGGGCCTGGGACGGGCGGGAGCGGGAACAAGGCCCGGAAAAGGGCCCGGAAAAAGGCCCGGAAAGGGGCAGCTGCCGCTCAGGGACGCCGCGATCCCAGGGAGGGTCAAGCTGCTGAAGCCTTCACTCTCCCATAAATATTAACCCCTCCTCAGTGACGCGTGATTAAGAATTCACAGGATCTAAATCTAATTATGGCGGGCTGAGTAACATACCAAGGAAAAAAACAAGATGCCAAGACCCCACTCAGCGCTTGGTGTCGGCCTTTTCTAAGTGTAGTTTGAACATGAGGAGTTTTTTTTTCCTTATTACAAACTTTTCTGCGCCTAATTCCCTCATTATACCATAAAATTTTATATTTCTGGAAGATATTAATATTTTCCCTCACACTCGAAATGAAACTCAGCTACAGAGAAAAACGGCCAGGCAACATGTAAGTACATTGGAGGCTCACCCCCAGCTCATCTTGTTTGAGTTATAAAGCACATAGATGAAAGAGAAAAGGATATTTTAAAGTTGCTCTTTTGGCAAAGGATAAACGTACTGAGGGTTGCATCAGCAAGTTTTTAGCTCGGGAGGAGCAGTCACTAATGATGTGACCAGGACAGTGCACGGGCAGTGTGGTTTGAGTCAGCAAGGGAAGGAATCCCGTAAAAGCTGGATGTTCTTAAGATGGAACTAAACTGATCCATACGAGCAATTAGGACATATTTTCATACACGCTGCAAATCATTATGTAGCAGTAGAATTCCATTTTTAGATGAGAAATGAGGCAGGTAGGCTATCTGGCCTTGTGTTTTCATATACATCTTTAATGTACTTTATTGACCTGAACTTTTTTAGCAAAATATTTTGATGACTTAACCAGGGTGCTCAGAAAGGAAACCAATACTTGGATCATAATATATATTGCCAGTCTTTATATAGAATAGATGCACATCGCTACCTTTGATTTTTAGATTACACTTCGTGTTTTTCTCCTTGGGGTTTTTTTTAAGATAATTGAAGCGGTCTGAAAAACCTTTGAAGAAAACCCTCCAAGTGCTGCTCTGGGGGTTGTGCTGCTCTGGGGGGTTGTGCTGTCGCCCTTCAGGGTCTCACTGCCTCTCTGTGTTGTCCCACAGCGGTTAGGTGCGCTCGGAGCGGTTTGGGAGTCCCTGCGTGTGGAGCCCGGGCACGCCGCGGCACGCCGGGCACTGCCGGGGAGCAGCGCGCCGCAGAAGCGCCATCCGCTGGCACAGAGCTGCCCGCTGCTGCAGGCTGCTAGCCATGCAGCGGGGCTGCTGCCCCGCCTTGCGATCTCTGCTAACACCGCACTCCAGCAGCAGGTTTGTTTTCAAGCAAACCGCTCGGTTCCAGAAGGAAGGCGCTGTCAGGATCCACAGTATAAACACCAGGCATTTTACTGCTGGGCTCCACATTTCCCTAACTGTACAAAAGCTATAAATCCTTTGTATTTTGGAAACCTGCTTAAATTTACACAAGTCTAGTAATTAGGGGAGGGTGTCAATCTAACCAAAAGCCCTCCATGCTTCAACAGATTTTTGTCTGACTGATGATGGCTGTAAGCATGTTGAAGGATAAGAAGTATCAGAAAGGTGGTGTTACTTGTTGCAAAATGTCAGGGGCTATTTTTTTCATATTAAGTAATTAAGTTACTAAGCTTAAGCTACCGTTCTTCAAGAATATGCAGCAACTCATTTAATTTGCAACTACCTAGTTTATCTGACAACTTAGATGTTCACACAAGAAAAACTTTTCTATGCAATACTGCACACGGTCACAAAGAAAAACATTTACTCTAATTAACAGTTGTATGTAAACAAGGCTGAACTAAAGCAGCATTGTTTTCCCTCTGTATATGTGCTTACAGAGTTCAATTATTTTGCAGACTGGAATCTTCACGGATCACTCAGACCCATCTTCATGGTTCTGGGATTTGACCACAGGCTTGTTTCCCCTGGTAAGCTCAGCTTAATTATTTTTGAGAACAAAGCAGCTCTGGCACAATATGGCACCTCACACTACAGCGTGAAAGACAAGCAGGTAAAGTAGTAGTCTACAGCTTGAAGAGAAGCATTTTGAAAAATAAACCCATACCTTTTGTTGCTGGCTTCATTATTTATCTTCCCTTCTCTATTCCCATCCCTCCTGTTTTGTTTGAGTCTGAATGCCTCTTAGAATTACCAGGTTTTCAACTTTTAATTGGCTTTTGATTACCTAGAGACCCAGGCCTTATCACTTATGTTTTAGGTTGGGTTTTTTCCCCTCCAAAAACATATTCAAAACCAAGGTACTTAAGATTAGTTTGAGGCATTTATTAGCAAAGATCATACCTTTACTACTGGCAACAGCAGACTTCTTTCCTGAGCCAGAACCTTCAGAGCATTGAGGTTAAGAGGTGCAGGAGTCAGTTCTTGTCCACGGAGCCCGCACTGGACACGAGCTCCTGAGCAGAGCTGTCCCTGCAGGCAGCACCCAGCACACCACACACTCAAGCTCTCTTGAAGACCTGTCTACAGACTTGATTCTCACAACGGAGCTCCTACCAAAAAAAAAAAAAAACAAACAGAAAACCCAAGAGTACAGATATCTGTAGTAATCAAAGGAACTGCTTCCAAAGTTGAACAGAGATCCTTCACCACCGCCCTGGCCATGCTAATAACTCACACTTAACATTTGAATTTAACTACACGTGACAGTGAAACAAGGAAGCTGTTTCAAAGCAGAATGTGCTCACAATGTGCATCCATTACACATCCTGCCTAGGAGCTAGAACACATGCACACCATGACCACATTATAAATCCAATTTTCACCATACAGAGATATAATTAGTAGAAATCTGAAGTCAATACCAGGTGGAGGTCGTCCCCTTCGAGCCAGTGAGTCCAGCCCCTGTTCTTCTTCTCACCAGTCTGGACACAGACAAGTTTGTCATTTTCCCAGGTAACGAGGCTCTATAGAACAGGGAACAAAAAGGTGTTTTTGCATGTCTGCCTCAGTTCTGCAAGACACTTGCAGAAAATTAGCATTTTCCCGGATAAAAGAGGACCTAGATATTACCCCTGAGTGAAAGTGACACTCCTTGTCTGTAACTCAGGCTCCTACTGCTGTCTTGTACTACAAATATTGTTCTTGAAACAATTTCAGCTCAACTATCTGGATTGATCACGGCATCTTAATTGTGCCACAGCCTCATACATTCCCTCTTACCTTGCATTTTCTGTTATCCAAGCCTTTATTATCTTCCTCAAACTCTTCTCCAACTTTGAATTCAAGCAAATAATCTCTGAATGTGCTAGTGGTATGGATATAGAATGAATCACCATCTTGTTTGATCACTTTCTGAGGCTTCAGCATTTTTGCTATTTTGCGTGTTGCAAAGTCAATACCTTGGACAGAAGGCAAAAAACATCAGTTGTATTTATCACCAACCATTCTGGCAGCCAGGAATTAACCTTTATTTCTACCAGAAGCATTTCTTACAGTAGTTTGACCTTACTGCTATGCAGCATTTTGTTGTTTAATTGGAACATTTTGTTTTATTTAAAGCTGCATGTTACACAGAGTAAGTTGTCCTCTTGTACTTTTTACTCTTTGAAAACCAGTTTACTCAGTTGTTTTACAACTCCTATGCAACATTTCCAGGACTTTTAGCCAGAAGACTCCTGGAGACAGTTGGCTTCCCTCACAGAGACACCCAAACTTGGTTAATGCCTATCCTCATCCTTTGCCAGAGGAAAGGCAATGAAAGAAACAACAAGACTCTCTTCAAGGCATTCTATAACTTAAATAGGGTGAAATGAAGGGCAGTCCTTAAAATTCAAGAAGACCCCTGAGGGAGAAGGGAGGAAGGACAGAAGCAGGTATTTCACCTACCTAAGGCCACCATATAACCCTCGAAGTTGTCATTGCTGACGAGGTTCCACGTTCCGCTGAAATCCACAGGCATTGCTAGACAGTAGAAGGAAGATCCAGTCAAAAATGCAAGCGTAGTTTTCTAGCCAGGCCTTTTATAGGGCAGCCTGTGGGTGGGATTACATCCCAGGACCTTTCTGCTGGAGGGGAAGGGTGCTACTGCCCAGCCAGTGGGTGAGAGGGTATCTGCAGAATGGCTTCAGCTGTGCAGGAGGGAAAAGTTCACCGTGTCTGAAATCTTCGTGTGGAGCAAATGTTAACAGCCCAAGAGCCACAATGCAAGCCAAAAACTGGTTTAAGCCATTTTGTCCATCTGGTGTACTTTAAAGGGACTGATTTTGTCATTACTAAGATCTCCTGCAAGTTTATTAGAACTGGGCTTTATGATCTGAAATCAAGGTATCTGTTGAAAAGGTGATGTACCCTGTAAAGACAGGCTGTACTTGAACAGACACGGATTGACTGGTAAACTGTGGATTGTATTAAAACAACAAATTTTAAAGCAATACCTATGCTTCAGTGCTGGACTTCACCTTCAGCAAAGAAGTGACAGAAATCCCTGATGACCCAGCAATGTGTTTTGAAAAGTGAATAAAAAATGCTTGACTTTGAAGAGAAAGGACTTAAGAGAATTTGAAGTGAGGACATAAGGGATTTAGAGGTGAGGAAACACACCTATACCTACTACATTTATTTATTTACTGACGTGTGTTAGGCTGAATAAGAAGGATAATATTTTGCAGAGAAACTTCCCCAAAGTTCAGCTCCTTTTTTGGAGCTGGCAGTTTGGTCCATATGACTCACAGAATCATGCGAGTAGGAACTCAGGACGTCAAAGCTTCTTTCCTGTTTGCAGCTGGATATTGTTCTCTAACCTATACTAAAACAGGAATGGCACTGAGAAATGAAAATTACTGTTTCCTCTTCACTCAAATAGTAACATTTCACCCACAATTTGGTGTTCTGAGGTTATGGTAGTAAAGCACTGTTGCAATACTACTGACTCTTGCAAGGAAAGAGAAGTCAGTACTTGGTAAATCCCGTGCCAAAGTCCAGATATAACATTTTAATTTAAATTATGCACATAGTCTGGGTGTGGTTCTTCTTTCTGTAAACCAGTACTTGAACCACACACAAAAACCTCTAAAGAGTTGTTGATCCATGAGAAGTGGCTTGCAAACCTTGCCATTCTTAATAAGGCACATAATACAAACAAAAATGAGATAGCAGCAAATAAAAGGAGGTAGAATTCTATCACCCCAACAGTCACAGTGCCTCTCTAGCTTATGTTCACGTAATATGGACAATACACTGCTAGATTCAAAACCAGATTTCTAGAAAAGAAAAATGTTTCACTTATGATCAGTATTGATATCCTACTGTTTTCTCTCTAGTAACAGAAAACAATTCTGGCTATATATAAATATATTCTACTTGTGGCTCAAAAGTAAAAGAAACTTTATTATTTGAAATCAATGTATTATTTGTAATAAAGGGACATGTGTCTCAGAATCAGTGCAGTGACACTATTATTAATTTATATCTATTAAATCAATGCCTTTAAACCAGCTCCTGAGGTAGGTTTGTCCTTCCATCAGAAACAATAGTGAGTTTAACATTACAGCCCTGGAAACACGAATGGAAAAGTAAAGTACAAGACATTTCTGGAAGCAAACTGCATGACAGCGAACAAGCAGCTGCATATCCCAAAGGCAAGCAGCTCAAAGCATGCTATACCTAGCACCACTTCAGCCAAGAGGGAACTCTTCCCTTCCAGGACAGAGCTAAATAATTTGTTTGAGGTGAACCACATGTTGACAATTTTAAAAAAATGTACATAGATTCACTCTAAGTAAATGGTACATCTTGAAATCAGATAACTTTGTTAAGACACAGTAAGTTATTAAAAATATTTGTCTTACTGATTTATAAATAGCAGAACAGTTTCAGTTGAAACTAATCAGAACACTTTCATTTGTTTTGCTTATACATTTGCAATTTTCATGTACTGATGTGAATTCTTATACTCACTTCAGTGCACTGGGACAAAACATTAAAATGTGAAATCTTATTACTGGACTTGAAAAAGGTTGTGTAGGTCCAACCACTGAGTGCACCAAACCTCATTGCTAGCTACAGATGTACAGAATTAGCCCACTCTTTACCTAAGAAAAACCCCCACCAGCCCCCAGAAAGCACACTTTCCTGTACTGAAATGCGGTTTTTCACAGCAGACAGCAGGTCAGCTGCTCAGGGCCTGAGAGCTCCTGGGGTCACTGGCATGTTTCTGCAAGGGAGCCAGCAGCAGCCCTGCGTTCCTGTCCTCGCTCTCGGGGCTGTACAGCCCGTTCTTCTCGATGTACGCCCGCACCCCCTCAGGCACCAGGTAGCGAATGCTCTGGCCCCTGCGCAGGGCTCTCCGGATCTTGGTGGAGGAAATATCGTTTGTGATCCACTCTTCCACCAGGTGAATGTTATTCTTATGTCTCCACAAAATATCCGATTCGTAGATGAATTTCTGAACATTGTTTCCAGCCCTGCTGATACACACAAGGCCGTGCTTTTCCACAATTTCAGTGATGTCCTCCGACTTCCACAGATTGGGGACTCCAAAGGATTCCAGCATGTCACTTCCACAAAGCAGTTTAACCTGTGGGACACCTTAAAGAGAAAATTAAATGAGAAATAGGGCTTGGTTTGGGGCTTGGCAGATTTTAGCAAACTTGACAGGGACATTTCATTTCTTGGCTCACTCTCTCTCTGTATCTTTGGTTAAGATGAGACAATGGAATGAAATTTTTTAAAAATATCCAGAGTATATAATTAGTAGCCACAACACAATATTTTTCTGAATAAAAGTTATGGGAGTCCCTTCATTAAAAGGGTCTAATGCCTTATGCTGTGGAGTCTAAGGGAATAAAGTTACTGAGTGACATCAGAACCAAGAGCCACCATAGAAGTTACTCATCAGCGCAATTCTCTTGAAAGAACAAGGATCATTAACCATCTAATTTGCAAACAGACTTAACTTTTTACAACTGGACTCTGATTTTTCTTTTTAATGGGCTCATGCCTGTTTGGCTCCTGTTTTCTCTTCCGTCCCAGCTTTGTTATGGGTACAGCATCCTGCACACTATTAGTGACATCAGCAGATAACAGCTTTTCATGATGATACCTGCAAAACAGACGTATTT